AGGCTTAAGTTCTAACACAGGGGGTTCTTCAATTGAAGATTTGGGAATTTTTAATCCTCTCTTGGCCAATTCTAATGACTCAAAATTTTTATTTTTCCAAACGACATCAGTTTTAGAATTCAGCCACTTAACTACTTCCTCAGACTCAGTTTGACTGATTTCTAGACCCTCAAAACCAGAATTTTGTAAAGGGTCTAATGAGGACTCATGCAAAAATTTATCTTTGACTACACAGTCAATGATATCTAGTCTAGAACATTCCTCAATGTCTCTTGGGTATTTCATGGCTTTTAAAATATTAAATTTTACTTGTTCCCCATTCACATTCATGACCAACTCACCCTCCTTAACATCTATGACAGCCCCACCAGTGGCTAAGAAAGCCCTTCCCAAAATAATTGGAACCTCTCTGTCTTCCTCATAGTCTAAAATTATAAAATCAGCAGGCAGAATGAATTTATCTACTTTCACCAAAACATTCGGGATTAGGTTCTCCTACTTTCAGCTTTTTGTACACACTCAAAGGCATTAAGTTGATACTAGCACCTAAATCACACAATGCTCTGCCTATGTAGTGGTCTCCTATGGTACAAGGGATTGTAAAACTTCCTGGGTCTCCTAGTTTAGGAGGTATCTTACTAAGAAGATATTGACTGCTCTCTTGTGTAAGAGCAACAGTCTCAAACTCTTCTAGCCTCCTTTTTCTTGAAAGAATTTCTTTCATGAACTTTACATAAGAGGGCATTTGTTCCAATGCATCAACAAATGGAATATTGACATGCAACTGTTTTAGGAGGTCTAGAAATTTCCTAAACTGATTATCTTGCTTCTGCTTTTGCAACCTTTGAGGAAAGGGTGGTGGAGGTCTTTTTGAAGTAGCAGGTGTCTCACTATTTGGCTTAGGGGTCAAACCCTTTTGAGTAGGTTTTTCAATGGAATTATTCCCTAAAGGCTCATCTATAGAGGGCTGAGTGTCTGATTCGACTAAAGTGGGTGAAGAGTTATTGTGCACAACCCCTTGGGGGCTATTATGAACAACAGAATTCTGAACAGGTTCAGAATTTGCATCCTTTTCTTTCTGCATGTTCTCCCCTTCTTTTTTTTTTAATGTGGAAGGTCTAACCACAGCTTCTGGCTGATTTACAGATCTGCCATTTCTAAGCTCTATCATATTGCATTGCTCTTTATTTCTCCTAGGTTCTTCAGTGTTACTCGGCAAGGTACCAGGAGGTCTGGTATTCATAGTGTTTGCTAAATGGCCTAGTTGGGATTCTATGTTCCTTAAGGATGCTGGAATACTTTGCACAACAGCTTCCAAGCTGTTTTGCTTGGTCTCATTCTTAACCAAATATTCCCTTAACAAAGCTTCTAAAGAAGAGGATGGAGCAATAGGCATCTCACTAGGTTGAACAACAGCTTGCTGCCTTGAAGTTTGTTGGTAATTCTGGGTAGGAAAAGGTATTTTTGTTTGGGCATTAGAAGGACCAGCTTGCTGCCCCTGCCCTTGAAAATATTGAGGCTGTTGGTTCTGCCTCCATCCCTGGTTAAAGTTATTGGGAAAAATATTTTGGTTTCTATTTTGGTTTCCCACATAAAACACAGATTCTGGGTTGGATGGGCAGCTATCATACAAATGGGGCCCACCACAGCAAACACAAGTTACACTTGTGTTTATTGCATTAACTTGAGGTTGGGTCACAGGTATTTGAGGTGCAGGAACTTGGGATTGAGATAATCTTGCCTCAATGGTTTGTCCTTGGGTTCTCACTAAATTGGACAGTGCATCAAACTTGGCTGAAAGAGCTGTTACAGGGTCTATCTCATGTAAACCAGCCACTCTTCTTGGCTGATTTCTTTCTTCAGGCCATTGGGCATAATTTTGAGTCATTTGTTCTAACAACTCATGGGCTTGGTTAAAGGACATAGTCATAAACATGCCATTAGCAGCAGAATCTGCCAAGGCCCTGTTTTGAGTATTTAAGCCATTGTACAGGGTTTGTAACACTGCCCAAGAGGGCAAACCATGATTTGGGCATTGCTTAAGAAGGTTCTTGTACCTCTCCCACACATCCACTAGTGTCTCTCCATCCCTCTGCATGAAGTTAGCAATATCACCTCTAGTTTGCACTATCTTATTAGAGGGGAAAAATTTCATAATGAATTTCTCAGCAAGGGTGTGCCAATTGGTTATAGAGTTGGATGGAAGGGAGTTCAACTATTCTTTGGCTTTGTCAGCCAGTGAATGAGGGAAGAGCTTCAATCTTAACACATCATCCGAGATGTTAGGATTCCTAAAAGTGTTGGCCACTTCTATGAAATTTCTAAGGTGCTTGTGTGGGTCTTCCATCAACAACCCATGAAACTGCCCCATGTTTTGAAGCATGGTGAACATCACCGGTTCTAATTTGAAGGGCACTCCATTCACAGGTTGGGCGATGCTTGGATCTAACTCATCCAACACAGGTATGATGAAGTCCATCATGGACCTATCATTATCATTTATGACAAGTGGTTCCCTTATCCTTGCAGGTCCTCCTACCCCATCATTCCCATTTACACTTCCTAAATCCTCCATTTCTTCAATTTCTAGAAGTGGAATTTGCCTATGTGCTATCTGGGCTCTTCTCCTAACTCTAAATGTCCTCTCAGGTTCAGGGTCAATTGAATATATGAACGGGTGTGGAGTTGCACTCATGCACCCCTTTTAACTAAAACAGGTAAACCTGGCTTAGCTAAAACACCTAGATTACTAACCAACTTTTATGCAGAACAAGCAAAAAATAAACACACAAGAACCTGCAAGCAGAAAAGTCCCAAGACAGTTCACAGCCTGACGGCTTTATAAGGCAGTAATAACTCACCCTCACACAGGGTGGAACTAATAATTAAAATAAAAATGAAACTAAGAAAAATTAAATGACATAAAATAAACAGAATATGAACAGAACAGATTTTAAACTACCAATATTCAAGATACTATAGCACTAATAACTAAACAAAACTGACACAGAATTCAAAAGAGCTACACTAAAAACAGCAAAAAGAAGCAGTTCAAAAATAGCAATCACACAGAAACTTGATCATATACGCCTCGATCCCCGGCAACGGCGCCAAAAACTTGTTGCCTTGCTAACAGTTGTGCAAGTAATGCGCGCAAGTATACGCGACAACAAGTAATATAGGGCTGTTATAAGTCCCAGTTATCGTTCCCACAAGGATCGTTGGCGTTTTGAAATGACTAAAATTTGTAATTGCTTAAAATTGAGTTACTATTTGAAAATAAAAGAAATAAAATTGTAAAGTAAAAATAATTTAGAATGGACCTAAAACACTACTGTTCACTTTTCTTTTAAAATTTTCTGAATTACTTTCCTAAGTTATAAAATAAGAATGAAGAATTAAGCAACTTAAATGACAGATGTGACAAAAATTTTGAAAACAGAATACAGATTGAACTATGAAATAACAAAGAAAATTGGAAAATCTGAATTGATAAAGAGGTTTAAAAAGGTGGGTTGAGTTCTGGTTCTCCTTCCCCACAGTGCTTGAAAAATAATTTGATTAACAAAAAGCTCATTCTAAGATTCTCAGTTAACAGGGCTGTATTGTTAATTTTTAATCTCTTAAAAATTATTTTATCCCAAAGTTGCCCACTTCCATATCTCTATGCCAAGTGGGATGAGATTCAGGTCCAATATTACATGAGGACTCATTCATTTCTGAATTGAGATCTCTTAGATGATTTCTCATCTAAGTCCATGTGTCTAATGCAGAATCCAGAATTAATTGTTTCTCAACAACTAAATCCTAACCAAACATCTGACATTTGGTCAAAATGCAGATAATTTTAAACATTAGAAACAGCATTAAACAACTAAGATATAACAATTAAAACCAGAAAATCAAAGATCTAACAAGCACTGAGGTTTGGGTATCACCAAAACCCAACCTCTAAAAAGTTAGCCACTATCCATATGGGTGAGGCTTACACACAGTAACAGAAATAAAGAAATTACAAACAAGAAATGCTAGAAAATAATTTACAGCACTAGCCTAACAACCAGCAATTTCAGTGCTGTAAATGCATGTATCGAGTTCATCAGATGAACCAGAATCTTATTACAAAATAAAAATTAAAAGAAAATAAAAATGGTGCAGAAAGCAAGAACTGAAAAAACGATAAATCAGAATCAGGAATGGGAAGAAAGGGACGCTTTGACTCACTCCTCTTTCCCTTTTTATAGGGTTCCTTTCCTTCTTTGCGCGATTTTCCTCTCAAGCTCAGCAGGTATACACGCGCTCCTTGCGCGTTACACACCAGTGGTCCCCAATCGTTCCACAATCGCATCAGATATTCCAAATGCAATTTCGCTCCGCACTCGTAACAGCATCCACATCACTATTCTGTTGGTGTATGGCTTCTAGAACAATGGCTAAAGCAAGCTGTGTGGTCACAGATGGTTACAATAATCACACTTGGACTTTGATTTGAGTGGCTGGTGGTTTGTGTGGGTCTTTCAGAAAAATGATTCACGGCTTAGAGGAAGAGAGATTAGGAAATATGATGAGGGTGGGTTTGGTGTGCGGCTGTGGTTAGGTAGCGTAATGGGTTAGAGAGAGAGGAGATTAGGGTTTTCTTTCTGATCCCTTTAGCTTCCCTTTCCTTTAACTTGGGCTTTCCACCAAAAGATCCAGCCCAATTCCTCCTCTTATCTTCTTCTCTTCCTTTCCCTTTTTTCTCTGGGCTTTAATATTTTAGGTCCGGCCCATCACTTCCTTTTTGCTTTTCCTTTTTCTGATGAATGTTAACACAATGGGCCTGTAAAATAACAAGTTTAAGCCCATTAGAATTTAAGTCCAACATAAATTTTTGGGGTATTTTAATCACAAACATCATTCATTTCTCATCAATTACACTCTAAACCATATGTTCTAAGTCTCTTTTAAGAGACTTATCAATCTCAAAGGAGAGCGATCCCATTCACAATCTGACACGTTGATAGATAAAAAATCGTAGGATCGTATGATCCTACGATTATTCGCACGATCTTAACAACATTGCTTGGAGCTATTTTCCACCTTCTGGGGTTAATACATTATACTAAACCCGCCCAATCTAATAACTCATCTCATACCATAATAACCTAACCTAATTTTTTTTAATACGATGGTGATACTGATATTTGAATTATAACCTTATGCAAATTATCCAAATCTCTTACCAGTAAATTAATTCTAGTGGCTTTTATGCTTTAGCTCATGATACTGGATTGTTTGAGCTCAACTTATGCAATTAAGCTAATCAACCAATTTATTGTTAATTCTGCTATTAATTGCATAAGCTAATCAACTAATTTATTGTTAATTCTGCTATTAATTGGTTCAGTTAATATCCTCTACCAAAGTTTAATTGGCGCATTTTAGGGTGTAAATTGGTTAGGCCGGCCTATAGGGACCTACGGCATAGCCTATATTAGGCTAGACTTGGCCTGTTATAAATAATAAAATAGAATAGGCTTAGACTTTTAAAAAAATCTACTTAGAAAACATATTTTTTTGTACATGTCGGGCTTATAAGTCTACAGATCTTTCTATATCATATTATTTATTTTAAATAAAATAAATAAAATTATTATTTTAATAATTTTGAATAATAAAATAATATTATTTTAGTTATTCTTTTAATATTTGAATGTTTAATAAGCTTAAATAGACTTAGACCAAGACTTTTTTTTTTAAATATAAGTCAAGACAGACTTGTAATTTGAAATCTATATAGGCTAACAGGTCAGGCCAGACCCAACATCTTTTACTTAAGTCTGACCTATTTAAACCAAAGTTTAGCCTAGTCTAGCCTATTTACACTCTAAGTGCATTGCTATTGGGTTTCTTATATTAACCATAGTTAGTTAATCATAGTGGACATCATAGATACAATTTTTACACGTGCATATTAACTCATTCGTTCTAAATGAGAATAACCTCCGTTTTTGCAAATTTTTCTCAAACTATTACTTATCAAAGGAAGATGAAAAAGGAAAGTTTGAGGATTTGCTTGGATTTTTTCTACATTTGCCTAATAATGCATAAGATGGTATCGAGGGGACAAGCATCCAGCTCTTTCTTCCGTGTTTGTAGAAAAATCTGTGGTTATGTCAAATTTGATGCCCTCTCGTGCTGGGACAAGGCACTGATCAGGTCATTTATTAAATAAATTAATTAGTTCTGAACCTTTCAACAACGTATGTGTCTATGCACCAAATTAATTAAAACTTTTGGTGTCTTTGGTCGTTTTCTTTGTTAATTGTTTTCATCTAGTGAAAAGGGTAGCACAGGCTCTTTCTTCCGTATTTCAGACAAAGCTAAATTCAAGTGCTAATTGTTTTATATTTTACGCGGTTTTTAACTTATAAAAAGAATCAGATTCATTAAAAAAGAGGCATTTACTTTTCGATTCAAGTATCAGCAAAGAATATCACTATGGAGATGTGAAGATATTGTGCAAGTGATAATAAGAGATGTGACATGTGATAAAAAAACAAAAGAAAGAAATGCGAGCTTGCTTGCTGTGAGTTAGACAATTTCATTTTGCAAGACCATCTTATGATGATTACAATGTTTAGGTAACTACAGGAATATGGGTGGAAAAGGTAGGGTAATTGAATTTATTTATGAACAACCAATTAAATTCAAACGCTTAAATTTATGGGTGAAGTTATATTAATAGTTTTTATATGTCTCTAACGCGCTCTCTTATATAAGATTTCACTAGACTTGAAGGATGGACAATGTACAAGCCTACCTACCTGTGCTAAGAAATTTGACAAGAGAAAGTAGGGCGGTAAAGATCGAACTCGTGACGCCAAGACTCTGATATCATGTAAAAAACCAATTCAATCCAAAAGTTTAAGTTGGTGGGTAATACTACATTAATGATTTTTATATATCTCTAACAATTTTCATATTTTTTTAGCAATGTTTGAAAATTGTATATATTTATAATAATTTCCACATATTAAATGCACCGAGGTAAGCTCTGTTGGTAACAATGCTTACTTACCATACATTTAATTGGACTTGATAGACCTAAGAGTTATTGGTCTAGTGGTAATTCAGTTAGAGTTCAGGATTTGATTTGTTTAAAGGGTAATAGAT